AACCTTTTCTCTGTTGTTCTTAACAAAAAGATGCAAAAGTTCAACACTGCGCCGCAGACTAGTATTTTGAAGCATAACTTTTGTATATATCGTTAGCTTGAGTTTTATACCACTTTTACAAACAAAAATTAGTTATCCTCGTGTTAGTGTTGAACTTTTCAATTTCATTAAAGCATATCTTAGATTTATAGACGTCATTTGATAACGTCCAAGTGAAGTGCCTCATTTAGCACAATACTCAATGACATCTGTACATTAGAAAATAATATTACAGGGTTCTCCATCATTTGAAATTTTACTGTGTTGCAGACTGCGCGCGAAGCGCCTTCAAAACATTTCAGTGAGATCATTATACTATACTGTATATGTATGTTTGTATGTATCATAGGCGCTTGGGTCAAGGATAATGTATATTTTCTATATAATGTTATGTCGAGGAAATTCGAACTATATTCGTAACATTTTTTTAAGCGCACAGTGGTAATTTTTAGTTTTTTGTAAATCTTCCTGCTTGATATACACTCGACTGTCACAGAAATTTGCACGTTTTAAGAATGACATATCCCAACTGTATACTAAAAAGAAACAAGGCTTGTAACTGCATTCGCCCCTTTCCGTGCCCCCGACACGAATTTTTCCTTTTAAAAGTTATATGCAATGCTTACCAGCTGAATTGAGAACCCTCTTCTCTCCAGATAATTCTTTTATAATGATAAAAATCCTCTGGTAACAACTTTTCGTCCATTTTATATTTTGAAATAATTATTTTCTTTCAAATTTCGCTGGTTTAATTCTCTAATCACGGTAGTTCCCGAATACTAACGCCCAAAACCCAAAACGGGCGACCAGTAAATTATTTGACAGTTCTTGAAAGACGCAAGGGTTAGAGTATATGCCAAATAGAAACTGTCTAAGACTTCCTTCCTAATCACTGACTTTATTATTTTCTTATTTGCATCCTTAAGCAAAGAAGTTATGGACTGGGTGGATGATGGGAAAGGTGAGGGGGTAATGATATTAATCATTATAGAGAATCTATTAAACAATGTGGCAATTTTATATGAACAAGATTGAAAAACTGTTTCTCTTTTTACTACATGTGATTCACAAAGAAAATCCAGAAGACCCAAAGACTGCTTATACGCCAACGTATAAAGCGATTGAAACTTCTTTAAAAAGAATCTTGATCTGACACTTAACTAGTTAAAATATATTATTTTTACTTGTAAAAAATTCCGCCTAATAGCAGATCAACAACAACAACAAAAGCAGTAACACCAGAAATCACTCTTTAATCAATGATATTTTATGGAAGAAGGACTGAACCAGGTTCGTAGCACCCAAGTGTACCCCTAACTTAGTATGGACATTTTCAATGAAACGCCGGTTAAGCTCCCCTCCTCTTCCCTTTTTACGTCGAGACAGTTTTTCATTTTTATATTTTTTGCATGTCAGATTTTTCATGCAATTTTGTTTTCGAAACGTTTTATTTTGTTTGCTTGTTAATTATTTTTTGGCTGCCCTACTTTCAAAAACGAGGTTTCTTATTCACGGAACATATTATATAGCAATACATGTACAAATAAGTGTAGAATGAGATTTGAAATGCAATGTTACCCCTCCCCTAAAATGATATTTCATTAATGCATATATTAATGCATATATCATTTCCACAATGTTCTCTGGCTCGAACTTTTAATTTCCATTCTTATTAAATTTACCTGTGATTCAAACTTCTATCCATGTTGTGTTCAAACGATTTTTTTAAATTTACTTTTTAACCTCTTTGCGTTTATTGACATAGGGTCCGTTTTACAAAAGAACTTAGTACGATTAAGACCAACAATTTTAGCTTTTTCTTACATCATGCTAAACCAATATTTTAGAGAAAATAGTGTCTTCTAAAAACGTTTTTTAAGATTCACGTTATCTTGCAAAAGCATTTTTTTCATCTTAGTCGTAAATTCCTTTGATATGCATAGGAGCATTGCTTTTTTCTTTAATTTGCATGCCCGTGTAAAAAAAATGTTTGCACTTTAATTTTCAATGTAAAGTCTAAATGTAATTCAATTGCCACAATGTGTAATTTATTCTTGATAAAGATTGACAATATTGATATCGTAATTCACTTTAAAACAAATGAAATGATTTGGACTTACATAGGCGTAACCATCCCCCCACTCCCACCCCGTCCATAAATTAAAACTATAAACTCCTTTGCTTAAGGATGCAAATAAGAAAATAATAAAGTCAGTGATTAGGAAGGAAGTTTTAGACAGTTTCTATTTGGCATTTACTCTAACCCTTGCGTCTTATACTCTAACCCTTGCGTCTTTCAAGAACTGTCAAATAATTTACTGGTCGCCCCTTTTGGGTTTTGGACGTTAGTATTCGGGAACTTCCGTGATTAGAGAATTAAACGAGCGAAATTTGAAAGAAAATAATTATTTCAAAAATATATAATGGACGAAAAGTTGTTACCAGAGGATTTTTATCATTATAAAAGAATTATCTGGAGAGAAGAGGGTTCTCAATTCAGCTGGTAAGCATTGCATATAACTTTTAAAAGGAAAAATTCGTGTCGGGGGCACGGAAAGGGGCGAATGCAGTTACAAGCCTTGTTTCTTTTTAGTATACAGTTGGGATATGTCATTCTTAAAACGTGCATAATATCAAATTTCTGTGATTGTCTAGTGTATATCAAGCTGAAAGATTTACAAAAAACTCAAAATTACCACTGTGCGCTAAAAAAAAATGTTACGGATATTAATATAGTTCAAATTTCCTCGACAATACATTATATAGAAAATATACATTATCCTTGACCCAAGCGCCTATGGTATGTATGTTTAACGATCGAAAAAAGTTTGGCAAGTCTCTACATTTTCTGAGGAGAACTACGGTTCACTTAACACCTACTTACTTTGAAGAGCTTCAGTATAGGTTGTCAATTATGTAAGTACACCCCTATGAATGACTAGAGATCACCTACAATAAAAACACCAGCGCTCCGCGTTAAACAAAGAGTAACTCTCCTTTGCTTTTACTTCCGTTTTCAGCGGAGCGGACCTTACTGTGTCGCAATTTTTTTACTGTGTCGCATACATAAAATTTGAATCGTTACTGTGTCGGAGAAAATTTTACTGTGTCGGAAGCAACACAGTTAAGCACTCATGGAGAACCCTGATACTATTTGTGATTCGTCCATGGCTTTTCTGATTTCTTTTTCAAAAAAGAGATAATTTTCCTGATAATGATCTGGACGCTGCCTTAACATGCCAATCTTCTCTTTTTTGTATTGTATGTTCACCTCGATTGGAAATCAATTTGCAGTTTAAGTATCTATATAACACAGCAGAGGGAAGGGATATTTCTGTGAATGTTCCTGTTATTAGTTATCAAGAACCAAAACATGCATACTGGATGGGACCCGTTGATCACGAAAGGATAACAATAATTACTGCTCAGGGAAAAAGGCCATATAAGTCCTGAATCAGTAGTTATATTCCAGTATTAAGTCCTAAGTATATTTATGGAATTTCACGCTCTTTCTTGATGGCATTACTATCGATACCATTCGAATTCAGAACAAAGGTAGCCCTATCCATGTAGTAAATTTGGACATGCATTCGGTTAAATAGTTGTGTAATTTTAAATCTAAAAAACATCAACTGAGAATGGGAACATAGGTTGTTTATACAAATATTTTTATATTCAAATGAGAAACTGGTTTGTTTCAAACACCAGCTAGACTTCACACTTATATTGCCGGCCGACAGGGCATGCTTACCCTTCCATGGCACCTGATCCCACCTCTGATGTATTTTTTGAGGTCTGTGTTTGCTCTGCTCCTATTTTGTAATGTTTAATGGGACTTTTGAACATGATTACTGTTCGTTATCTCCATATTTCATTGTTTACTTCAAATAATTCTGTATATCGGTTTACAATCTTAACGAACAGTATTGCCATGGTAACTAAACATGAATGTAGTAGCCACAAGATAGACATTTATAAAAATTCAATTTAAAAAATTGTGTCATAGTGGAGTCCACAGGTGTAAACGTTTCATTGAAATCGGATAAATGTGTAGGAAAAGTAGAGTTTTGAAAGAATCTGACTGACTTTTTTTTCATGCTATTTGCTAGGCCATTATTTACACACTGAATTGTCGACGGATGTTCCCGTTATTTCCCGATCATGCATGGGGCACACGGCGGACCTGACCGGTCGGCAGGGGATGCTCACTCCTCCATGGCACCTGATCTTACCTCTGATGTTTTTAGAGATACGTGTTTGCTCTGCTCAAAACTTTGTATTGTTTAATGATCTTTTGAGCTTGAATACGCTTCGTTATCTCCATACATTTCATAGAACTTTTCATATAAAAATTTCTGTGAAATTCCTTTGAAAAGCTACTCCCCCTAAGTTTTCCCATGCATGTAAAAAGGGGATATTCAAAAATGAAAAAAAAAAAAAGAAAAAAAAAAGAAAGAAAGAAAAAGGATAGGGGCATTATAAAAAAAATCTTCTTAAGAACAGCTGGACATAAAAAAGATGAAATTTATTTGAAATCTTCCTAAATAAGTAAATGCAACTGTTGTCGGATGGTCTATAAGTGTGATGACCTACATATTACAGGCACTTGTTTCTTTGATCATTCATTAACCCAGGTCCTTTACCACACCACCCATGAAGATCTGTGTTTATATTTGATAATTTTAAGCAGAATAATCTCTCTTTGAAATATGAAATGAGAATTTAAACCACAGTTCTATGTTCCCTTTTCATATTAAAACAAGTTTGATGTCCAATTATTTTCTCTTTCAGGGGCATTATATTTTTTTTTTATTTTGTTGTTGATGTCCATCATTAATTAAAAGTAACGATCAAAATCAAATTTAAATGAAAATTTTTAATGAACTTTCAACTGTTTGTCTACACAGAGGACATTTCTGAAGGACTATGGAGCAGGGTTGGCAGCAACAGAGATGCCCACAGGGATTAAAAGCAACATTTACTTTTTCCTCAAGACAAATTGTGCACAAGACATTCTCCTTCAAACGACTGTTTTCTTCTTGTAACTTTTTCATGCATAATTCTGAAAATACACAACTTTTCGTTAAGGTATCTCAACATTTGTGTTTTACGGTAATGTTTCAAAAATTGCTAAAATAAACGTCTGTGATATATAAACCAAAAAAATAATGCAATTGAATCGATTCTGATTTTTATTTTATTACTTAAGCCTTGTACGAGGGGGTATCAAAAAGTTCGTGGACTAGCGCCATAAAATTAAAACCGCTTTAGGTACATCAATGATTCTTAAAATATTTAGTTAGCCTCATCTTTTCTATCTATAGAATAAACTACAGATCATAATTGTTATTTTTATATAAATTAGTAATGTTTTTGTAAGCAATGTTATGTCCAGGCGGCGCAACCTCGAACATGACGTTTTTTCGACCTAAGTTTAAGTGAGAAAAACTCTTTTGATATGGACATTTGTCATCCAAAAATCCCGATAATTCAGGTATGTGATGGGACACTATTGTTCCGTAAAATATGCAATTTTTACCTCATTCTGTAAGTTTCATAAAATTTTATCGTAAATTTTGTATGGAGTGTTCAAATAATTAAGGGCTTGAAAATGACGTCAAAAAGGGGGAGGGGTTTCTTTTTCCAACATTCTATAAAGTTTTGCCCCTGAAAAAACTGGTATAGACCTAGGAAATGTTTAAACTGGCTACAGAGAGATAAAATACATCCAGAGTGCTTGTTTTTTAAATGCCAAAATAGATTCAGAGAGAAAAGGGATGCACAGTTAATGTCGATTTGTAGTCAAGGTGGGAAAAGTCAATCACGTCAAAAAATGACGTTGATCATGTATGGTAGATATTGAACTCCAAAAGGCAAAATATGCTGGCATAATGAAGCGAAGATCTCTCCCAATGTATAAATCCATTTGCAATATTATATGTATTGAAAGCAGCTGTTCATGACATTGTAAAGTCATATAAACAAGACGGGTTTAAGTCCTCACTTAACTCCAGGGAATCTCATATCAAGATAAGTGTATGAGGTAGAAGAAAAACAATGACGTTGTCGGACGTCATGAAACTAAACGGCGACAGCGCCGGGTGATCATACAATATCGTTTTTATTTTATAATAATTTGGCAAATAATGAACGTATCAAGCTAAAATTTTCAACATGTCGTTATTTTTAGTTGTTTTATGTTCCTTATAAATTTTGAAAGCACAGACTACTTAGTACTAATTTTATCGTCTCAGTCCACGAACTTTTTGATAACCCCTCGTATAAAATTGAATATATACTTTTTTCTACCTATCAGGATTACCGAAAGGATATTATGACACAATGCGATGAGAGCAGATCCTTGAAAATTTACATAAACCTGACAAATGACACTGCACAGCCACCCCCAACTACCCACGCCCACTCACCTCACTTCTCATTGTTTCTTTCTGCATGTAAGTAGCTCTTCAACTTAGTTTTCCAATTGTAAGTGGGACTTTTGAATTTGAATAAAAACTTTTGATTTTATTTTCATAAGCCCTTCATTTTACATGCATGATTTATTGTAACGCCGAAAAAATGATACGAATTCCTTTAAATCTGAATCCTTTTCAAATACACAGGGAATCTTTTGTCTTATCAATTAATATCTGGAAATTTCAAAAAGTTTCCCTCGTTAAATTTTCTTGATTATACAAGGATTCCACTTGCTATTTGTCTTCCCTGGTAAGTGAATTATGATAAATTGTACCTGAATCAAAAACAGGAAAAACAAAACCTGAAATGTTTGTAAAACACTGATGCCCCCATATGACATCTCCTGGCCAAGGTAAAAGTTTCCTAATAGCAGGTTTAATGTCAAGATCATTAAGTCCAAAATTATGATATCAAGAGAAAGGTCTTGGCACATACGAAAGCCTTATCATGAACCGTTCTAAAGTAATGATCAAGGATAAAGTTTTCCAGAAGTATGTCAAACTCCAGCGTTAAGGTCATGGCGTTAAAAAGAAAGGTCTTGTTAAAAGGAATAAACATGTGGAATATGGAGCCCTAGCACCAACCGTTCTAAAGTTGTGACCAACGTTTTTTTTAGGACAGACAGACTCACAGAGGACAGTCCAAAAAATACATGTATATTCTTCCAGTATCCGATTACGGGAAAATAAAAATTTTAGTCTTAAGCAAGAACGTTAGCTTTTTACCGAGCTCCTTTTCTCTTTCATCCCTTTTCTGATCATCTTTGCTGAAGTAAAAGCGTATATTTATTGTATAAGATAAATAGTATATTAAACAAAGTATATTAAACATTCAAATATTTTATGAATTATGTTTTGTGAAAAGATTATATTTGGTAAAATAGGTATGTAAGATTAAAACATAACATAAAACAATGGTGCATTTAATTATTACGTACCACATCTCAGGACATTTTTTCCTATGCTTCCTGCTGTCTCTAAACTTACATTTTGAGCTGCAATATGGTGCGTTGCATAGTTCACACTTAGAAAATCCTTTAAAAATTCCTCAAAATTTAAGTTTATAGTTATTGACGGTTTCCATGCGAGAACTTATGATAGTGAAATGTCCACAATAACATGATATGAAATGCGCATGTGTAATACTTACCATATACGTATGCTAAACAGTATGAACATTGTTCAAGATCGAGCCCTATATATTCAAATTCATGTTCTGAAATACAAATATAATCCATGACAACATTGATTTTCATAGTTAAACAAACAAAACTAACAATTACTTTGTTTTACTACTGAACCGACTGTGAAATTGATTTAAAAGCCATTTTCGTGTATACTCACGCGAAGAAATATACACGGAGATACTCGCGCTAAAGTGACGTCACAATGAGCTACAGAGACGCTAATACGAGGGGTGATCAAAAACTATCTCTATATTTACAAAACCTCAATTCACATCAGAATGATATTTGGCACACAAATATTCATGAACATGTTCTATAAATAGCATATGTCATGTAATGTTTTGGTCAATGTTTATGACGTCACGGTGTGAAAATGACGTCAATATTTAGGTAACCTGTGACGAAAAATGGGTGACTCAGTCTTACTCGTGCAAGGAAGGGCTGTAAAGTTTAACGTAAATCTTGGAAATTCCCTTGCAGTGGCATATAATAATTTGTACAGGGTTTATGAAGACAAAGGACTTACAAGAAGTTCAATCATAAATTGGATTGATTGTTTTAGTGAAGGAAGGGAAATGGTTAAAACTGATGTTCGTTCTGGTGCCCAGTGAAAGTGAGCTGGGAAAAACGTGTATCCTTAGTTAAGGAATTTGTTATGAAAGACATCCAAGTTACAGTTAAAAAAATATTATTATTTACATAGTTTTTTAGTGACAGGGTACGGGATGATACCTGGTTAGTAAATTCCATACCTGGCGAGGCGAAGCCGAATTTACCCCACAGATAAAATATTTATGCATTGTCTGTGGTTTGTGAAATTGTTTTTCTCACTAGATATATGTTTCATCACTCATACAATGCCTATTATGACGTCACGTTGTGTGACGTAATGTTGTTTTGCGAGTGTTTCGTGCTGTAATAACGTACTGACAGTTTTGAATACTTTCAGTAAAGGGAGAAAAAGGTTCCATCTTCGTTACTAACATTAGTTAACTGTAACAGACACTCTGCAAACCCCGTGAACTCGAGTTTTTCGAACGTTACAAAAGAACGATAACTCCGTATCGACCATGTATTGATTTTCAAGCGACTAGGTATAAGTAATACACCCCCTTCACGTGACAGACTTCAACCAATCGTAAGCCAGGATTCCATCGAAAAATCAACAGAGGTGGGGTAATTGAATATCTTAACAATGGGATAATTATTAAATCCCTAAAATATCATTTACTTCAGATTTAAAACACATCAGATATGATAAAGAGAACGCGCCCATACTCGATTCACATTTTAAAAAAAGACGCATCTAGGACAGAGTTGTCGGGTTGTGATAGTCACCATGCTCATTCTGGTAAAATATATCCTTACCCATCCACCCTATTTCCAAGATTTGGCCATTTGTGACAAATAGACTATTCTTGTTATAAAAATTAACCTGCGTGGTAAGAAATATAAGACTCAGAAAAATCTTTTAGTTGCTGTGAACAGGACGCTACGGAGCATGTCACGTGACCACCTGGACCACGTGTTTCGAGCATGGGCAGAACTGTAGCAGATGGGCAATTAAACCGGAAGGGGCTACTTAAAAAAATAAAACACACTGAAACCTAATTTTACTTCTTTTCGAAAGTAATTCAATTAGTTCGCGAACTTTTTGATCACCCCTCGTAAAATGTAACGCTAAAGGGCCGCGAATAATTCAAACGTTGAGTATATTTTTGGTGCTTTTGAACATGTAAAATGTAAACATAAGGAATGTTTTTAAGTTTATTGTGAATTATTGGTGTGTAAATCACAGCGACTTGCACGTGGGCATATTTTTCATGAAGCGCTAGAGCACTTCATGAAATATGCTTATGTGACAAGTCTGTGTGATTTACACACCAATAACTCACACAAAAATTAAAAACCTTCCTTAAATATTTGTTTTCTCCCATTATGAACCTGCACTCACAAGATGGGTTTTCATCACCATGAACACAATTTCTTCTATAAGTGCAGCTCGTTTCTTACACTGGCGCAGAACAGGCTACTCTACTTATTTAACACATTCAAAAGTATATATATGAAATGCTGTGCAAAAGGAATAAAATTTAGTTTTTAATGGTATTCTCCGGGAAAAAAGAAATTTAAAATCATCATGATTAAAATTTCTGATTGGGGTGTATATAATTAAAAAATAATAATTTTAGTCCAGGTATTTAATTGTATAATAAAACTTTTTTCAAATAAAAGAGTGCTCTATATTTATATTTGTTCATTTTACCCAAATAGTTACAATGAACGATAACTCTTCAGGCTAGGGTGCTTTAAGTTCATACAAAGCGAAATTTCTGTGATAGTGAATCTATTTCAAGAACGATTTAAACTCTTAAAAAGAATTTTAAGAACTAAAGAAGCATAAGAAAAAACACTCTTAGCTAAAAATCAATATAAAACATTCTTTTTTCATAATATGGTTATTTATAATTTTTCTCTTCTCAAAGAGTTTCGATGACGTCATGACGCGTAACAAAATCATAAAAACAAAAATTTACAATAATTTGAAGACGGCGCGGTTTGTATCCAGATAACTGTGGTTAATAGGCAAATGCCATGTATTTTTGTATGTGATTTATTGGAGATGAAATGGATTAATAATTAATCGGGTCTACTGATTGTCTTCGGTTGAGTCATAGACTCAGTATATCATACAGTATTAAGCGTTCTCATAATGAAAGAATCTCCACTTTGTCGGTTTATATCAAGTTTTACGGAGTGAAAATATAGGTTGGTTAGTGATGTATTAGATCAGTAGGTCATTTTCACATTTGTACTCTCTTACAATTTGTCACATAAAGAGGAAATAAAATATATGGAGATAACGAACAGTATTCAAGCTCAAAAGTCCATCAAACAATACAAAATAGGAGCAGAGCAAACACGGACCTCCAAACATCAGAGGTGGGATCAGGTGCCATGGAGGAGTGAGCATCCCCTGCCGACCGGTCACATCCGCCGTGTGCTCCTTGTCATGATCGGGAAATAATGGAAAAATCCGTCGACAATTCAGTGTGTAAATAATGCCTAACAATTAGTATGAAATAATAATGTTGTTAACGCAGTTAAATGCACCTGTGTCCCCTAGATATTTATAAGGCAACGAGGCACACATTTATGTTATCCTTTTGTTTTCTGTTCTCTTTGAAAATCGCTTTTACAATACACATGTACCCACCTATCGGTTCAAATTAACTGAGTATACCAGTGCTATCCGACGTGCATTACGAATAATCTATAAGACATTAAATTCTGAAACATAAATACTACAAGAATTGATTAACAAATATAAAAGAATAATACCAGATTTCAGCTGAAGTGTCTCTTGTGACCTAGGAGTATTTCTTCTATTACACGTGAACACAGTTTGAGTTCCATTTGCATTTAGAATCTTATTCGTCTGAAGTGAAACCAGAAAGTTATTTTTTTTCTTGACGTTTATTACTTTTGAAGTGATATATTGCCGTACGAAAAGTTTGGCTATTTTGTCAAAAAAGAAATATGGCAAATAACCACTTTGATGGTCTACTGGTACAATTCTGAAATATTTCTTTAATGATGTTTAGAGGAAATAATAACGAAAGCGCCGATCATCAATTTCGGCAATATTTGCTCGGACTCCAAGATTTTTATCAGTATAATGTCTTAAACAATTAATATTCTGTTTTTGAAAAATCTAGCATATGGTACGTTTTTAGTCTGAAATGTGATAGCATAAAGTTGTAATTAGATTAAGGGGGGGGGGATAAAAATCAAAAGAGACAGATTATCATCACACCATCATACTGACCATCATACTAGTCAATTTTGATCTAGTTTATTATTTTTGGTAATCATCTTTTGATTAGTTTTTTCACTCACGAGAAAAGTCTATGGCACACATTAAATCACAATGACTGTATAATTCTATGCCTATCCTCCATGTCAATGCGTGGCTACAGTATTTACCTAAAGAATGTAATTGCATTGACCGAATCAAAACATTCTAGAAATAACTTAGAAAAAACAAAACATATAATTTACTGACTGTAGAGGTTTTTTCCATCCTTATAATTGGCTGTATTATGAGCAATGTCTGAAATGCTTCTTTTCTGGAAAAAGGGGAAAAAAGGTACACAGATATCAAACGAAAAAAAATTAAACACAATTTCGTTTTCCTACAAAAAATCCTTATATTAGCTTGATGACACAAAGATGAATTCTACAGATGGAAACCGATTGGTTGTGGCTGCTAAATATGTAAATTTCCATCAGCAATCTAAGTATTTATGTCAGGTTTTTTTTTTTCAAATGTTCACAAAACTAGAAATTTTTCAAACTATGAACCATCCTTTTGTAGTATACGAGGGTTGTCTGGTAAAATCGTGGACAAGTTGTCGTAGAGTTAAAAGATAATCAAAGTTGCGTTTTAGCATTTTCATTATCCTGTCGTATATTATTCATAAGTATACATAGCAAATTCAAATAGACATATGCTCAAAAAGACAAAGTATGGTATTTTATGTAATTGTTCAGGTACAACCGGGCGGCTCAAGGATGATAACGTCAAAGTGCCCCTTTATTGCTTCCGAAGATACGTAGGATTAACCACACTGATCCAGGAATTTCACTCTGTAATCAGACAAGAGACCTATCTCCCCCAAACTTTGAACCTTCTGAAGTATTGTATTAATACCAAATTACACCAAATTCAATTAGTCAATTCTGCAAAAAGTTTTTCAGCGTTCCTCTTAATAGGTTATCAACCACTGCCAGTAGCCACATGTTCGTATGTTTTTGTCTATCATGGGACTC